AAAAAAAAAAAAAAAAAAAAAAACACGAGGCCCCAACACAGTATCACGTTAACCACCACCAACCCACAGACACCAACAACAACAAAACAAAAAACACCCTCACCACACCCTCATCAGGTCTCTTCATCTACAGAACGCATACAGCATAACCAACACCCACACCAATTCCCAAGCTGCACTCTTTCTTGGCACAGTCACCATGTCGAAGCATCGAAACCCCAATAACAATACGAGCCACTGAAGTGAAGTAGGACGGCGCAACCCCACTCCCCATCCCCAGAAGTAAATGACCAACATTCTTGTCTATCACAAACGTTCAAAAATCCCCCGGGACACAATAAAACAATGACACAATGCACAAGCATCAAGAAAAATACAAACAAAAAAACACAGTGACACACACAATAACAGGGCGGCTCAGAAGCACTCCACACCATCACCACACTCTTTCGCGCCAAAAAAAGGCACTACACAGAGCAGGTGAAGGAGAGGAATCGCACACGCCGTCATTTTGGCATTAGGTGTACACAAATAAATTTGCCACCGTACAGGCATTTTCGAAAAGAAGCATCACAGNGTTTTACAATACCAACGCAGCCACAATCAGCAGAGGTGCGGCAGTGCGCATCCACACAGGGCTGAAACTGCTGTCAGCATCGCCCGGCTTCTGCTGGTTGTCGTTGCTTGGTGCATTAGTGGAAGTGGGTTCTTGTGTTGCTGGTTTCTCGCTGGGGTTTTGTTCATCTGCAGGAGGTTTAGACTCGCCATTCTCTGGAGGTGTGTTGGGTTTCTCCCCATTGTTATCCTCATCAGGGTTTTCTGTGCCTTCTCCATCTGTTTCATTATCTTCTTTATCTTCCTCTTCCCCCGCGCCACCTCCAGGTTGGTCAGGCTTAGTCGCACCATCCCCTGGTGCTGACGGTAGTTGTTCGTTTCCATCTTCTGGGCCTTTTCCACCATCTGGGTCTTGTCCATCATTCTCTCCCGTTTCTCCTTCCTCTTCCTCTGTTTCTTCGCCTCCTGTTGGGCCAGTCTCCCCTGTCTCACCTTTATCTGTGGCTGGTGGGGCCCCCGACTCTGGCAGTTCACCTGTCCCATGCCCTGGTTCTGTCTCTTCTTTACCTTGCACTGCATTGTCACTAACCTCAGCAGCAGCTGCCATGGCATACCCGCAGACGAAGCACAGCAGAACGGCCAACACACAAATCACACGGTTCATCTTCATCATCGTGAGAGAAAAAATAGTTTGGTTTGCGTAAAAACACTGATCTAGAAAAACAAAACAATAAAAAAGAAAAGGGAGAGAGAGAGAGAGAGAGAGAGTGGATACAGGACTCAAATACTCACAGTGAGAGAAAAAGAAGCAGCTGCAACAGCAGAGTACAGTAGTATAAAAGGAATAGCCCCTTTACAAGATGATGCAGACCCCCAAAAACAGTATATACAGAAAAAAAAAGTACACAAATCCAAAACAAAAGGGTCAAATACCAAAACTCCAAGTGTATATTGTTGTACAACAG